AATGATGATGATGTGACGAACATGATGGAAGAGTATGATAAGTTGGGATCCAGTGATGGGTTCACTAGGCTTAGGATTTTCCTCTTCTCACATCGTGATCATGATGGTTCCTCGCATTTTATTGATGGGGATGAAAGGGAGACTGAGAGGAGATATGTGGATGCTCTGAATAATTTGAATGATAATTTGGATTTTAGGAAGTTGCAGCTACTCGACTCTCCTTCTATCATTCCTCCTGATGAAATTCATGCAGCAGAGCAGTTCTTTAACACAATGAGTATTGAGGGAAGTCTTCATAGTCAGAGAAGCTGCGAGATGCCTATGACACAGTATAACTTGCATCACCTCACAGTTCCTCACATGGGATCGGGGCAACATCAGCAACCGATTACTCAAAGATATAATGAAATGGATGGCACTTGGAGTCCTGCTTATTATTCTCCTAGGCATCATGCCCCCCTTGATCCAAGATCAATAGCAGAATTCCCATCTTCACCTTCATCAGCACGGTTTCGTGTGCCATTTGGGGAATTACCAGATAAAGGCTTGGATAGACTCCCTGATGAGTATACACGGCAGCAAACAAATCATCATCCCACGTATGACCACCAACCACACCCTGACAATGTAATGTGGATGCCAGCTGGAAGCATATCAGGTGATAAGAATGGGTTTCCTGGAAATATACTCAATGGTCCTGCTGTATATGAAGGCACTGTTTGTGACCATTGCCGCGTTACATTCCATAGAAATCAACCACCTTCGGAGCAGCCTAACATGGGAAATGGACTTCCGCAGATACCTATTCCAGCTGCAGAGTGCCCCCCTAATAGAGAGTCTTTTAAAATGAATACAGATGCAAAATTTCATCATGGCATTTACCCTAAAGATCATAATGATCCTCGATGTGTTTACAGTGAAACTTACAGTCATGAAAGGGGATGGATTCTGCCACATCCACTGAATCCTCGGGTTGAGGAAACAAGGGCGCAAATCTCCAGCTCTGGAAGAGTGAATGATCATTATTTAGTTGACGGTTCTGGCATGAATTTCCCTATTGGGCATGGTAATTTAGTGGATGGTCATCCTATATCATCGAATTATGTCCCTCACAGAGCTGGACCTGAAATGTCAACTGATGGCTTTCATGATCCAACTTTGACTGCTCATGCCCACTTGCATGTTCCTTCTGCTGAAGAACGTGCGGTTCGATATGGGAATTATTCGTATGCTCATGGGGCAGATAATGTTTATCCAGTTTCACATGGACATGGACATCCACAAACATTATGGAGAAATATTCCAAACCATGTTTCTGGTGCTCCCTCTTATGAAGCATCTGGCTTACCTCCTCAAGTGAATGGCACAGTTAATCCAACTTTACTCCGTGCTCCAGCGGAGGGCAGCACGAGGTTTCGTATTGGACTGGATAATCAAAATCCTTGGATAGACCAATCACAAAAAATGTTGGGTTATGATGG